ATGCTGTTCCCTTTGAATGTCCACAAACTGAGCTGCCTCTAAACCAACACCAATACATCAACATCTCCTCATTCACTATTTCTGTCTCCCCAATCAACACTTCACACCTCTTTACCTCGAAAATATTCAAGAACATGCAAAACTCCTTGCAGCAGTCACATCACTAGCTGCTTCCAGAATGTATCGTTGCACTAGCTAATAACACACTTAAATCAACAAATCCTCAGAAAACCTCACAACAAATAATCTAAATGTTAATCGTTCCCGTTCCTGCTCTCGCATCCTATGTCAATTGCAACACTTGAATGCTGATGTGTTTGTCTCTACTAGCTAATTACTAGTGATGTTTGCATTCCCTTTAGAGATCAGTGCAACATGAATACGGAATGTTATGTTATGCGATAGATACTAAATTGCTAATTTTATGCGATAACTGCGTTTAATATGCAACCAAACCAATCTACTCTATCTCTTTGAATCACCACTCCCACTAAACAAATACATTCATTCCAAAAGCACAATAAATAAAATCTTACTTATAAAAGTGATATTCACTGATTTTTGCTTCACCTCTCCGTCGAAAGTCTTCGCCACACAACTGTACAAACCAGAATCCTCCACAGCCGGCTTCACGAACATCAACTGCTTCGATAATGCTTTTCCTTTACTCAGTGTCATCACTCTGCAAATAACCTTTAAGCAACTCAAAATTGCCACGGAAAGCAGCAGCATCACTCGGATCTTACTCTTCATTACGATGCGAAATACTCTTCAACAAGCCTACTCCTCCGTCTAAATAAACAATATTAGTTACCGTCCCATTCGTCCAATAGCTCGTGCTCGTCCCTCTTTATACCATTCGATTTGAACGTCTGCTTGTGAATCGCTGAACACAAAACCTTTCAAGGAACACACCACCATCAGATTCTCTCCACTTTTTCTGTTCAGCAATTGCTCGTCGGATGGGAATGTGTGCATATTCCATGCTAAAACAACATTAATCTTTAATAAATTCTTAATACAAATTCAAGCCTTACAATACAACTACATCTTTTCCTTATTCACTCATGTCTCATTCAAATAACTACTGCTCACAACAACAACTTAAAGCTTAAAGAGCTGCTGGCCAATATGCCATTGCTATCTTATTGTGCATCCATTATGTGAATTCGTTGTCTCTCGATACAACACACCAACCAATAGATGCACATAATTGAAGAGCACACGCAAATGCCGCACAGCATAATTATTGTTGTTTCTTTCCATTCAAAAGAACAACAACCACCATCAGATCAGTAGCACTTTCCCATGATTATTATGAATAATGCGTTGTTCGTGACAATCCTATTCTATCCCTACCTATCCTCAAGGTTACCAATCAATGAACTTTCATTCAGACAACAAAAAACCACTATTCCTTATTATTATTGACATATTTTATACCTTCAAAACGTTAGACCAAATGCCGCCCGCCCGCCCGTCATTATATATCCGTTCTGTTTCTCACATATTCTTCTAGAAACATTCAACACGACTCGGATGTTCGATGAGCAACGTACGATGTCGTTTGTTTGTTTGCATCAAGAAACCTAGCTGCGAGTGCATATTGATCCATAACATAAACCTACGTTATGCCACTCTGCCCGTTACATCCAAATTTGCGTTTTAATCAACTCATCTCCACATTGCTAAATTCCCAATTATTCACCACAAATTCAATCAACCCTTTTTCCAGTTCTAACTTTCTTTTCACTTCATAACATCCAAATCCTCCCTCTCCAAGAATCTATTTATCAATTTGATAATAATAATAATAATAATAATAATAACACTACAATGCCATAATCACACCAAGTCAAGCACTGAATTAAACTCTACGCATTCAGATAGATATCCATCCCCCTCTCGTCTTCCTTTACAACTTATATGATCACCTATATCATATATCCATTAAATGACCACTAAGTGCTCACCGAATTTAGTCTTATGCAAAACAATAATACTCGTTAAAACAAATGAATACCTTGAGTTGTCTGAATGCACCACAACAGCAGCACAAATATAAACAGATGACCACTACTCAAGTAATGACCACGACGAGCATCAGTATAATACCGATAAGCACTCGATACTTTATCATTAACTTCATTCCACTCGCAAAATTTGTTCGTATTCATCGTGTTACTAGCAACTGAAATATTCCACTTTCATACCTCCAGTCCCATCTGCATCCAAATCTAACTGATAACAATAAAAATCAAAAACTCTCAAGTAAAGTCTTAAGATACACTTAAGATCACGGCAAACGATTCAAACTGCCCAACAACATCACATCATTACTCAGCAGCAAGCACTAAATGCATCATGCAAAAAGAATTATCCGCTCAACCATGCGCACATACACATACGTTCTTAAAGGATGCTGCTGCTGCTGCTGCTGCTACGTGCCTTAAAGGATTGTCAATACATTCTACTATCTATATATCTCAGCAAACGCTCCGCCCTTAAATAACCACTAACTAAGTTTACCCCTCATGCACTACTTATCCAAATCAGTGCCATGCTCTTCAATGAATTTGCACTGCACTGCACTAGATTTTGATCAAGTCTAACAATAAGACACACAAATAAATATCTTCACAAGAGGTTCAACTGCTCATATCAAGCACGCACCTACCTACCCAAATATTGAATCCAAATGATACAAGAGAGAACAGAACAGAACAAATCTCTATATCCTCTTACCTATGTATAACATTGCTCAACAAACAAACTGATCTTATCCCATCCCGTACACTTCATTATTTATTTATTTAATGTATTTATTGTTTGAGTAATCCCACTACTACACCTTAATCCCAGAGTTATTCGCCGCTTGCATATTATTTCTTACATTCTCCACTGTAATCTCACCGGCTCGGCTTAGACGAATAATCGATCAGGTTAAATATGATTAATCCAACAACTAACAACAACCACCATCTCTAATAATAAGATTTATTCATTCCATTATCACCCAACTCAGTACCAAAACTAAGACCAAAACTATTTTATTTTGCATTTACGTTCGCTGCTAATGCTTCTATCTTTAATTAACATCAGACTCAGATCAGATGACACTTTGGCAAGTCATTTTAAGCGAATGACGAGAGGCATGGAGGAATGATAAAAGTCTAAGAAACTTGCCATGTTTCGCAGCCATACACTGAAATTTGCTATCGTCTCACCCGAGAACGTGTTCGTTCTGAAGCATATCTGACACGATGGAAACGAGCCGTTTGCATTTCACTGCGCTTGTCTACCAACCACTTTACCATACTATCTGAACGTTTTTGTAAAGCAAAATTGAGCCGAATTCACATGAAATTGATCTTACTTTAACTTAATTTCACGAGCATTTCTTCAACGATTTGCTGCGATCATCACAGTTGATTTGATCTGGCTTATTGTTTGTTTGATTGCACGAAGAAGCATAATTCAAATTTCATTTCGTTTCATTCTCCTTCAATTCAATATAACCGAATAAAACTGAACAAAAGATGATCAAGAAAGATTACTTGATCACACTCAACAACTCATCTAATATGACGAGTTATTTTCACAAGCAAACAACAATAAAAGTAGACTGACCTGAACGGAATCACAGCACGATATCCACTTGCAAACACGAAATGCAATGCTGCTTCTTGAGCAGTTCAAAGCATCATGCAGTTAATGATTTCATCTCATAGCTGAGTCATTTTTGGACTGTCACTCGTCACTCTGCACGTGTTTCATGAAACAGAATCATGAACCAACCATTGACTCATCATTCTATTATTATTATTATAGTGATCAACTGCCAAAAATAATAAAACGTCACACTCCAACGTGGCAATCTTCGTGACAGCCAACCAAGCAGCAGCAACAGCAACAGCCGCGCTCTTTATTTGCACTGAATAATCATCGCATTGCCATTCACTGTGGCTGCTTTTAGTTAAGCTCAATGAATATTCATTCCTTATCGGAGATAAGATGTTTGTTATCTTGTTATCATCAACAGAATACGTCGCAGACTTATTTTTTATTCATTTATTCATAAAATTTGTACGGAATTATCTTTTGGATGGGTCAATAATGCGGTGATTTGAGTTGAGTAAATAAATGAACAAATAATACATGAACTAACCATAATTTGAATACACGTTTGCATAATACACAGACAGATAGAATCGATCACCCTTTTGTTGACTGACGCGAGCGAATTAATTCATTCGGTGTTGCAATGAATTTTGTCACAAATACGTTACATATTAATTTCATTCATATTCATATGCTCTGAATCATCTGCCTGTAATAAATAACCAAATAATGCTTTCTTCTACGTATTCAATCTCAGACAATATTGTCTCACAAAATTGTATATTCTCAAATTTGATACCAAGCAATTTCACCTCTATTTTTTGCATCAATCCAGCCAAACGCACCATCGTTTCGTTTCGATCATCATATTCTCTGTTACATATCGGCAAGTGCAGCGAATTGTCTGCATTCTCGTCAAATTAATTACTTATCTAAAACATTGAGTGGTTATTTTCGATTACCGTGATATTTCAGTTAAAAACTACTGCCAGTTACGAAGAACATATCCTGCAGATAATGTAAATAAATTTAGAGACGGAAACACGAATGCATCGACCGATTTTGCAGAAAACTTTGCTGAGTTAGAGTCAGAAAAACTTCTCCTCTGGGATTGGAGTGAATTTATTACTTGTCAAAAGTGGCAATGCACATTAGAATGATCAGCTTAGGCTTATCAAATCCAAATTGAGAACAGTGCACCTTGGTGATACGAAATAATGTTACCTGCAGTGAATTATGCACTAAGTTGTCCAAGTTCACGGCATCATCAATTCGTAGTGCTCTTATGGAACAACGATCCACCTGATCAGTTCGGACCTTTACTGGTGAATATTGACCAAATTGATGCAAAAAAGCACTACCGAACACTCGAGCAGTCACCGAACACGAACCTTTCTTGAGCATAACATCAGCCGCCATACGGCGCCTCATTGGGACCGCTTGGGTCGATCAGGCGCCGAAAACTCTCTTTTTTATGTAACACAAAAAAACCCAGGCCATGTCGCCAGAGCCTGTGCTCAATATCTTAATGTTTTCAATGCTTATCGTGCGAAGCGAATGAATATTATTATTATTATTATTATTAATTTGAATAAAAGCGCTCACCTGAACCTCTATCATGCAATTGTCGCTAGTGAATAAATATGTCGTAGACCCGCCGTTTCGTTTGTACCGATCGCTTACGTGGCGTCGTTTGTATGTTTTTGTCACTGTCGTTTCTCTTGGCTTGATTCCGTTTCCCCGAATTGCACGTAGCTTAGTCTATCGTATGGTATGGTTTTAGCGTCCGAATAGCCATAGGCTGTTGATGTGGATTGAGACCTCAAGCTTTCGTGTTTCGCATCAACAGTCCTTGAACAGCCAACGTGTGCCATACGGCGCCTCATTGGGACTGCTCGGGTCGACTGTGCGCCGAAAATTCTCTTCTCTGAGTAACGGCAAAAAATCTGAGCGTCTAGGCTTGCGTTTAAGCGCAAGGCCACGTCGCCAGACTAAGCTTCGAGCCTATATTCTAAATCTTAATGTTTCAAGTGCTTATCGTGCGAATAAATATTATTATTATTACCAGTTTGAACTTACCTTTGCTTATTTGAAAGTTGTCACTTTTGTAGCTATTGTTCGTATTTGGCGCTGCTTGTATGCTTTCGTCACCATCCTTTTTGTTCTGGACTGGATTNTTTTTTTTTCCTGAATTGCACGAGATTTATCATATGTGAGTTTAACGGCCAATACTACAACCCGACTAGCCATAGGCTGTGTTCTAGGTTAAGCTTCTTAAGCGTGAAAGTACTTTTAAAAGCGTGATTCTTATCGAAAGCGTGAAAATACTTTTTAAACGACGATACTTTTAAAGCGTCTTTCATTCATTGCGCTCAATTTTTTTCGTTTCCAGCCGCTATTATCGTGCCAGACAGACAGCCCAGCCAGCCATTTGCCAGAAGCAGCAGCCAGCTGATGATAATGGCGACAGTAACAATCAAAGAGGATGTTCAAACAACACTAGCAAATGCAATGCAACTGGTCAACATAGTGGACGGGTTAGTATTTGTTCGGTTGATTGTGCACTTTGTCACCGAAGGTGTATAGAATATGAACGTATTTGTTGCAATAAGATTCGAGTTGACGGGTCTAGATTTGTTCATGTAGGACGGGTGTAAGCTTGAGGTGGAGCGTTGCTTGCCTTTTGCACACGTTTCAATGAGATGCAGTGAGAGGATTGTGGTGTTTGTTTATTTTACGATTAACCGATTGCACTTGTTAGCTTGATTGCAGAAGGAGAATTTAGTTGGTGCTGAGAAATGGAAAGTAAAGAGTGAGGAGCAATAATGCATGAGTAAGGCTTGTAATAGAATTGACTTGTTCAGTGAACAAAACAGCTGGTTAGTTGCTAGAATGCTCATTCAGTTGATTTGCTTTAGGACAGAGCAGTGCTAATGCTGATGCTGCTGCCATGATCAGTTCATTTTATAAAGCATTTGAATTAATCAAATTAAACGATACGACACGACTTGATTAGAATTTAAAAAGAAGCATTTCGATAGTGTTCTAGTGCAGTTTTAACGAGTGAATATCAAGCGTAATCGACACAAAGCTGTTAATTAATTGAATTCAGACAACATTAATCTGGAATTTAACAGCGGCCATCATCACAACGACACGATTGCGAGTAGTAATAGGAGATTTGCAAAGTAAGAGACATACTGGAGAGCATAGGTTGAGTGCATCACTGGAGTAATTAGACTACACTAAATAGAGACTGCATTATCACCTTAATAGAACATTGGAATGAATAGAATGTCTATCTATATTTGCTTTGAGTTATCACTTATTACTATTGTTATCACTCTGTGATACTCATATTGTTTTATGGTGTTTAATGACGTTTCTTGCTTCTAAATTGTGTTTGATCAGTTCTGTTGAGGGATTTGAGACGATGAATGATGTGTATAGATATAAATCGTAAGATAGACATGTTGGTTTTATTTTATTAGGTTGTTGATGTTGTGGCTATTAGTTGAGAATATAGGTAGAAGTTAATTGTTTGATGAATGACTGGAGGAATGAATATTGCTTGAAAGATAGTATTGCAAAAGAATTGTTTTGGGTGCTAGTGCTAGTGCTGATAACTGAGAGAGATAATCTTTTAATGGGCGGACCGTCGCAGGCCATTTTGCTGTTTGATGCGATATTGAAAGGAGTTTATGAAACTAGCGATTTGATTAGACGACAACGGTGTGGTGTGGCCAAATAGAAGGATGGCCGAGAATAAGAGATAGATAGATAGATATATAGATGCGGATAAGACGAAACAGATGGAAGGTTTGATAGAAGGCGTGTGAAGTTTGAAAGGAAAGATAGCTTGGATGAACAATAGAAGGCAGAATGTCTGCTGAATTTTAAAAAATGATGGAAGAGCGATTGAGTTGAGTTTTGGGTTTGGTTGGATTCATGAAATGAGATAAATCAAGAAGCAAAGCTGGAAGAAAATCGTCTGACTGCATTTTACTTATTTTCTAAAGTATTCATCTTCTGTACACTTAGTTGTTGTCTGTGGTGAACCTGCTTTTACCTGCTCTCTGAATATGGTGTGAAATAGATATTCATTCGAGTGGCATATTTAATATTCATTTGGATGGTTGCTTAATTATTTGTGTGTGCACGATATTTTGTATTAGAACGTTATTGTCTAGATTATTCACTAGGTTAATAATTCACGTACAATCATGTTCAATGGAAACTGCTGCTGCTATTAGTAGATCTCATGCAGTTGGCGGTTGGTTTGCGTGGAAAGAAGATGATGAATAAGAGAAAAAGCTTATGATATCCACCTATATCCTGACGTGTTCATCGAAACATTCATCATATCAAACGTATGTATTTGAAGTAGTATTTGAATACGGTCGGTGTTTTTTGCTAGCGATTGTGTGCATGCTGGTGGCTGGCTGAATTTAGTGGAATGAATCGATAGATATGGTGATTGGTGAATTGAGTTGTTAATGTTTGTGATGAATTGTAAATGAAATTAAACGGAATAAAGTGAAGGGACGTGTGCTGCTTTATTACGATTGCTTCTTCATTGAGCAGCGGCAGCTAACACTAACTCTATCGGCAGTTCGCTCGCAGTAAAATTACATTGAATGAATGTCAAAAAATTGACTGAATTAAGCATAAATTCAAGTTGATTTGTGACTAGTAGGGCTAGCAAATTGGTTGACTAGCTGGCTGGCTGGATGGGTTGTAAATTGACTGAGCTGATTAATGTTCAATTCATAGGTGTTTAGTTATGTGTGTCACTGCTGGGGATGATTTGTTTTTGTTAGTATGATATGGTGTGTTATGAAAGAATTTGTTATGAGTTGACTTTTATAGGAGCAGAGCAATATTTGGTTGGGATTGGGGCAAGGGATATGAAATAAGATTTATGGGATTGGATTCGGATGAAATCGGAGAGAGAGAGAGAGTAAAGAGAATGTGTTTATTTGAGTCAGATAGTTGGTTGTTGGTTATAATATGTGTGCATCAAGCATCATCACATCATATCACTAGTGCAGCAAAATTTAGAAATAAACTTCAAAGAAGCCAGGCAGGATTTAGTACTCCAACAATGAATTCCCTAGGTGATTGTATTGAGGAGTTTAGAATGCGGGCGGCGACACAAACAGCAGCAGCATAGCAGCAATTGTCACATAAAAATGGATGGATATATGAGAGTGAGTGTTGTTTGTCTATAAGTGGAGTAGTTGAGTGATGAAGCATGCTGGCTAGGTTGGTTCAGCATGATGATCTAAAATGATTGTGTTGTACTCTTACAGCAAGCTGGATGATATCCATGGAAAGAGGAGAGCGACAAACGATAGCAGCCGAACGACTACAGCGAACAGTCCAACGTCGCTGAAGAGTGCATCGTCGGTGTCTGGCGACAGTGGTCTTGTGTTGGACGATCAACAAACAGCGACGACGACGGCACGAAAACGGAGTACCGGGGGTAATGCTCAACAAGTAAATCATGTAACTTATCATTTATTGCGATTAGTTTTTTATTATTATTATTGTTATTATTATTATTTGTCGTCTTCTAAATGACAAACAGAGCAACCAGCCGCCAGCACGCGAATTTCAGTTTCAGCACGGCTCGGATACTGCTGCCGTAGCAGTATCAGCAGAACACTCTCAGAATGACATGGAGGATGAGCCCGCAGCGAATTCCAATCACATCACCTCTGCTCACACAGGTGTAAGCGCAGTCTTGCAACAACTTGAACAACTCATCATCTCAGACGATTGGATCAACAGGAATCAACCTGTTGTGACGCTCAGTGACGGCGCATCGTCGAAAACGACGAATGTCAAATCAAGGTGATTAGTGGTTTAGTGATCACTTGCTATATGATCACTTGATAGGTGATCGATGGATCGATCGCTAGTCGCAGATCATTAATGGTGACAAATGCAGATCGGAAGGACCACGTCTCAGTGATCTTGGTCGTACACTAGTAACGTCGTCATCGTTGAAGTCCTACATCGACCTTTTGGGCGCTCAACACCGGCAGAGTATAGCCGCATGGCTGTACGGCAACACATCGCTGACGCTGTCGAATTTATTTCGTTTTCCAGATGGCAATTTGTATTGTTCAGATACAGAATCAGCATTAACCAATTCTTTGAAGAATGGAATAGGTTAGTGATTATTGTGTATGTGGCATTATATAACGAGTTGTTTTGGCAGGTTTTGCGGTTCGACTCGCACTTCGTGCCAGATATGGTGTGGAACGCTTGGCACAAGGCTGGAAGACATTCGCAGAAATGGTTGGTTGGTAGCGTCTTGATTTGTACTTGTACTTAATGATGATTCTATAGGGCGCACCCGTAGTGTATGTTTCACCAGCCGTTCATCTTGATCTGAAAATGTATTTGGCGAACGAATTGGCGATTTCGGATGTGGTAGAGTTGCCGAAAGCTGAAGGTGATCTGTCGAATGTGGAAGGGCGAATTGTAAGTGAAAGGGTTTGATCGTTTGTGAGTGGTGCTGAATATTGTTTGTAGGATTTGATCGCATTCGAACGGCAATTAGATGCCGATTTAGCGGCGGGTAAACAACCATTACTAGTGATTGGTGTGGTTGGTTCACCGATCCTTGGCCAGAACGATGTTATCAGTCGCTTGTTGGAGTTGAGACGCACGAAGTGCACGTTTTGGATTCATGTGGTTGGTCAGGTGAGTTGTATATGATATGATAAGCAAGTTTACTGGTTGATATGATTTGAATATAATTGATTGAGTGACGTGTAATTGTGGTTTGATGATTATTTAGTGAAGAAAGAGTTCAGGGTTTGGCAGCGCTCGGCCTAAAAGAACCGAACAAAATGTTAGTGGAAATTCTATGCAAAGTGGACAGTGTGACGATACCGTTAGCAATGTGGCTCGGCATACCGGCTGCACCGGTTGTAGTGAGTACTTGTTTGCATATAGCTTTAGCATTGCGGAGTAGTAATTCTTTTTATAGACATTATAGTATTTTTTGATAGTGGTGTGCGAAGAAAGGATTTAAGTGGCATTAATTGTAGACGTTATATCGTGCAGTGGAAGGCTACAAGCCGTCCTATCGCGAGAAGTTAGATGCGTTGCCGTGGTGGGTTGCCACACAGCATTTGACACCGAAACGAATAACACTGGCCATTGAGAACGCTTATTTTCTGGTTTGTTGTTACAATTATTGTTTGTTTGCATGGATGGATGAGTGTTTATCGGTTTGTTTACAGAGTAAAGCAATGCTGAAAGGTTTATCAGCGTTTTCGGAGATCGAAATTCTTGGTATCGAAAATCCAGCAGATTTCGTGAATCGCGTTTATAAAGGACAATATTTTCCGTTGAACGTTCTCATCTTCAAATACAGATACGCCGAATTGGATTACCTCAAGAAGGCAAGTTTGAGAGTGTTTTATTTAAGTGATCCTCCATGGACTAGTCTTATCACGATTATTATTTGGAATGTATTTCAAGAAAATAACGAAATGTTCGTTGACGCCGTCGTCGTCGTCGTCGTCTTCAAGCGTGAATGAAGCAAAAAATGAGGACGTCACTAGTGAAGAAGACGCGTTCGAAAAGGAATATCGTGAGGCGTTGGAATATGCAGATTCGTTGAACTGTTGGGTAAGATCTTGAAAGGTTTTTTTTTCGTTCGTTGATTGTTGTTACAAGTATTGTTGGTAATTTTATGGTTGCTAGTGATTTAATATTATTTTTGTTTGTTATGCTGAATTGTTATTATTATGCAGCTTGGCCAAGGTCTTATAACAGAATGCGCTAATTTGGGCTTACAAATGGTTCAATTACGTGGTGGTTATGGAACAGCGTTTCGATTTTGCCCGCTGGAAAGTGCAGCTGGTGAGTGCGTAATGGTTTATTTTTGTGTAGTGAATGGTTGTGGTAATGAAATGTGACCATTGAATGGAGTTGGGTTTAGCGAACTCAACAGCGGTTGAACACATCCAGAAGTTTGTGGGGCAGTTAGAAACAACGCTGAATATTGTTGGGTCGACGGTGTCCGCGCGGAAACGTTTCGAGCACCTGAAAGAGCAGTATCCATCGTTGGCGATATTCCCCATCAAGAAATGGGCCGGTGTGGGCGCGGTTTGGTTAGTTGTTAATTGTTATGTTGTAATCAGTTGAATTGTCTAGTCATATTCAGTTTAGTGATATTGTTTAGTTATGTACCGTCGATAGTGAAGGAGACAAGTGCAGAGGAATGGAACGAAAAACAGAAACAACAGGTGAGGTGACTGGTTATGTTAGATAATTAATGAGAATGAGTGCTTTTTGAGGTGTCGCATTTGAACATCGAATTGGTGCATTCATTGCGTGCATTGGACAGTGCATTTGCATCGGGTGAATGTGATAAATTCGGTGTTACGTGTGTGAAATTTGGTATGTTGTCGGACGAGAAGGACTTGAACGATTTGATGCGTCTGGTGGCCGAACGAGGCAAGGAGATTGAACAGTCACAGCAGGTTGGTTATTTGAGTTTGAGGTTGGTTGGTTGGGTAAATGAGTTGAATTGATTGCAGTATATGGACAGCTTAGCGGAGATGATTCGACAAGGAATTGAAGCGGCCAATGAGGATCTGAAACGAGAGAACGACGCACGTATAATGCAAGAGGTATGATTGCTGTCTTATAGTAACATTCAAGCTAAATGATGATATTATATTATCCTAATTGGCTACTCCTTTAGAAGTGAGGTGACTGCTCAAAGAATAGGGGATGATTTTAATAGGATGCAAAAATGTGCCCGTGTCGATGTGAGTAGGGTTTGTAAAATCTCGATTATTGTCTCTATGCCGGTATCGAGATTCTATCCTGGGATCGTTTGTCAATCCGGGGATCTTGTGCAAACGCTATATTTGAGCGTGTGATTGAATCCATCTGACTTTTCCAAGTGGCGATTTCAGTTCAGAACTATATGAACTATTGCATGATGTTTTATTTTTTAATTTTGAAATTTCTAGTGGATAGTAGTAGGTGATTTAAGGGGGTGATGCGTCAAATTCCGTTGATGAGTTCATTGGTCAACTGGTTTTCGCCATTGGACAGAGAGGCGCAGAACATCAAGGGACGTTCGTTCGATTTGAAAACTGGTTTGTTTTATTGGTTAGTGATTTGGTAAGAGCTGAAATTATTGACATGGACTTGGTGAGTATTCTAACATGGTCATTGAGCACAGTAAATGGAGGAGGCATGGACGGACGGACGGGTAACGCTACAAAATGAACAACGTTGGGTGGTTGATTGATGCAAATAACCAGTGAGAATTATTCAGAGACGACATTGTATTGCTTGTTGGGAAAGATCATTGGGTGCGCTTCACTTACAGGTCAGATTCACTCGACAGATATCTACTACAGACATCATAAAAGGCAGAGTGTTGACGAGCAGCAACTATCGAACGTGGCCTCACAAGAGCCACACCTAAGTCATATGACTGGTGGTGATAGCAGCGATGCAAAACAGGCAGCAGCTGACGAGTGCGATCAGGTGGAGAGCGCAGCAGAAGGGCAGGAGACGAGCGGCTCTGGTTCAGGCCTCAAAGAGCAGCAACCTAGACGCCTCTCGAGTGCAGCGCATAGAAGAACGCCTGAGATCGGTATCGCTCAAAACAGTGCCAACGTGTCATCCTCGGAAGCAGAGAAGGATGTTCAATAAGGTGACAGACATCTTGTGCTTGTTCATTGTGTCTAGAATTGTTGATTCCCGGCACACAAAATTGCTCACTTTCAGATGTAAGAGCAAAAGAAATTTGTAAAATCAATTGCACATTATGGACAGTTAGTTGTTCTAGATGGCTGTTCAACATTCTGCAATAATAATAATTTAATTGTGTCGCAGTTTGAGTGATTGATGCACTAAGTAATATGATGTTTTTATTTGATATTCGAATCATCTGAGACGCTAATTTATTGGTAATTGATACAAATATGCTTTGGTTGGATAAGTGCAATAGAATTATTATTAATATTATTCATTTTTGTTTTTTGATTGTTTGTTATTATAATCGTGTGCATCGAAGATGGTTATCTGTGATAATTGTTTCATTCCATTTAATAGCAATGAGAGCGTGACTCTTTATTGGGTTATTTCTAGCTTATTGACTGCTACTGTTGCGTATGATGTGGCTGCTGCATTGAGTTTTATTGTGAATTATCTGTCGGTTAGAATGCTTTGCAGTGTTTATCAGAGAGATGATATTGTTGAGTTTATTACGACTATGGCACGAGTGATGGATAATGTATAATTGGACGATTGATTAGAGTTGTGGCTTATCGAGAGGAATATTGATGATATGTTAATGGTGATAATTTATTATATATTAATATGTTAATGATAATGTTAATGGTGATTCAAAGTGCGAGTTCTAAAAGGCAAGGCAGGCACGCAGCCAGTACTGCTGCTGCTGGCTCATCAGTTTATGTATAAAGGTAAGCTGATGATCAATGCGTTGATTTTATTTATCAGTAATACATCAATAACAACAACAACACTACACAGCATTTTACAAAAGTAAGTTCTTTTAGAATAATAAGCAAATTTGTAAATGTATAGGCAGAATATTATACATAATTTACATTTGTGAACAACGTAAGCAAATTCATAACAACAACAATCATCATCACAAAAAGCATGGAACCAGCTGAAGAATATGAATGTTCGAGTGAACAAACAGCGAAAATTTAAAGACAATGATGCTACCGGTATGGAGAATACAACAAAATAGAACTTCATTTCAGTTGGAATCATTCAAAAAGCGTAACGATTTATAAATTTTGCGTCAATTTACATATTACATCCATGGAACGCATCTCGTTTTCTAGTGATATAACAATAATAATGAGAAGAGTGATATCAGACCGGGAGGATATGAGGCCGAAATATTATACACGTAAGATGAAACGATGTGCAACAAGTTAGTAAGTGGGAGTCAGTCGATCCGATCGAGTTTTACATCAGGTGACGTCGAGGATCATGTCTTTTAATCTCCAACTTTAATCAAAACACTGTCAAGAACGATGGATGATTCCATCGAATCAGGGTTTATTTTTTACCGTATTAAAATTGTATTCTGTCAGAAAACCCGAAAATAATTGAACGCAAAAGTGGACGCGATCAATTGACAATTGACTGACCGACTGTTCGAGTGCTGGTGAAGGGGAGGAAGCGATCTTTTTTTTCACTGAACGCAAAGAAACAGTGAATAAAAAATAAGTAACCAAGAATGCAGCAATGATCATCACTGAGATGGACAGATTTTGAGGCTATTCGTGATTGAAATGCACGCATCAGAACGAGTAACGATTATAGTAATAACAATAATAATAGTAATAATAATAATGATTACTTGAGCCTATCTTGGAACGCATAACGCATGATTAACGTTACTATTTTCGCTGTTTTGTGCACTTACCGCTCATTGATTCAGTGACAGATCGATCGATCGTATATCGTAAAATGAATTTTGCACGGAAAGAATGCAGTATAATAAGTGATGGCTTGAATTTGATCATAACGTTTATTTGCATTACCCCGTAGCGCATGAACGATAGAAGGAGGAAATGAAATGAAGTAACATTAAAACAACAACAATAATCATAACAACAATAAAAATAACACACAGTAAAGAATTATCACCACGTCTGAGGATATGAACAAACAAGCTTTTATATAAGTTGATATCCATCTTAAGCAGTAATGGACTACAACATCAAGAGAGTATCATTTACAGAAGATCAGATCAACTCTTTCGAACGAACACAAAATACAGCTGATGCTAGTTGATCTATGGAGTGAGTGCTCGAATGTTTTACGATAACTGATAGAAATGGAATGATGAGTTTTTTGCTCGATGCCATGCACGCAGCATCACTCATTATATTGATCAGTGCATTTGATCATCAATGAGACATTTGATCTGCTAGTGTTCAAATAGATCAAATAGTTGTTATTGAATCGTTTGACTGTAAACAACTCTATAAAAGAGTAACGTTCATTCATTGTTTAGTGTGACGTGACACGAAGGGTGGTGTGTTTGGAATTGTGGTGCTGCTAATGCTGATGCTGCTAGTATTTTATTGTGGGTTCTTCAAACTTTTGGTTTGGTTTCATTGTGGCGCAGTTGGTGCAAAGCACACCAGAGGTTTCGATATGGATAATAGCTGGATTGTTTTGTTATATACTTGTTGACAACACTCGTCGNGTCGTCGATATATCGCATTGAAATGTCGACATTTCAATGCGATATATCGACGACTAAATAATATAAATACTGACCTATTCCTAATATTTGGTGACAATTACTGGCTCAATCTACAATCAACTTCACTGCGAACACTTTAATGATGGCAAATAGGTTTCTTTTAATTTCCTATTCAATTTTCATTTGACTAATTTCCTGTTGCCTCTAGTGTTCACCTATTGTCCTCTACTGTTTTTGGTCACTTACGATTAGCAGAATGAAGGGAAGTAGATATAGCTACCGCATATTATTTAGTAGCGATAGGGAATTTGATAGATGAGTGATAATAACTGAACTTAAAATTCAACTACTCAAAATAGGGTAACCAAAACCTGAAATGAAGAATATACACGTGATTGCAAATAAACTCTAATAGATAGTGGTGCTCTAATAGAAATCTGAACAACTGAAGAATAAAACTCTAGGAATTGATACAATGATAATGGATTGTGATACAATTCGGTGACATTCGGAATGAATGGAAATGTGATGTGATACAATATTGAAAGTGCTCTCGCGGCGGCAATTAGCTCACATGTATAGATGGACAGTGTTTTGGAGCACGTTGCTGTGCTCGTATGGTGATTAGATCAGAACAACGTGCTGTTGTGCTCGTAAACGTGTCGTCTCGTCTGGTCATCAAGCCTCTGCAGGTTAATTCACGATCTTGGTGAATTGTTGTTGTTGTGAGGGCATACTTCGACTCGATGCCGTATTCATATCAACGTTATTGTTAGTAGATGAAGTGGATCTTCGTGGCTGCAATCACTTTAAAATCCACGCTACCTTTTAGATTATTACTGGTGGCTGTGCTTAGTGTTTGATTGTTCAGCTTTTGGTATTTCGGTTGCTTTTATTCATACACTTTTCAATGGGCAGGCAATTAGACGACTGGTTCTTATGAAACGTTGAATGTTTTATATAAGGAAGGAGGTTGTTTCTAGTGAGCAGAAACTTTGTGAGATTATGTAGGAGATTTAAAGGATTGAGGCAGTTGCAAGACGAGTGCACTGACCGACCTTCTGTTTAGAATGAACTTTGGTATGTCGTTTACGTTCATCGGATCGAGCGAATTTGCGCCCACAAACTTCACAACTAAATGGCTTTTCACCGGTATGTGTACGAACGTGGGTGGTGAGATGGTCACTTCGTGAAAATGCTCGCATACAGATGCGACACTGAAACTTTTCTTATTAACGGGTGAGGATTTCGATTTAAGTGTTTGAGTGATTAATTAATTATTCGACAACTGACGAGAACCTGGAAGGGTTTTTGTCCGGTGTGAATCCTGATATGTCTGGTGAGCTCATCGGACCTCGAGAAGCGTCGATCGCAGTTCTCGATCGGACATTTGTACGGTCGTTCATGGAGCGGTGTCTTGG